ACAGAGATGCAGCTCACGGTTATCATTACCCTTATGGCGACTACCAAGTTATGACAAATCCAAAAACCTATTCAAATTTGCGTTTGTCTTCCTGCGAAAAGTTTCATCCACGCGAAATCACCGATCTCACGTGAAAAGACTTTTCAAATGAGTGATTGTTTACATTTTATTCGTGGTAGTCGGCATAGCGCGGTGAATTCCAGTGCCACGGTTTTACGAGAATGAGTAAGGCACATAGATAGTAGAGCCTGCGAACCTCTGCGAAGCAGAGGTGACGCACTGGTTTACATAATACTTGGCTTAGCCACTTTTGTGTATTCGCCTAAAAAGTATAGAAGGTGTTACGAAATCTGAACCAAATTTGGCAAATATAATGTGTGGGGTGGGACATGTGTTAATAGGCCTTTTTGTACTAGACACACAGACCTCAATGATTTCTTGATTTTTGCGTTTTTGCTCTGAAAGTTTTTATGTTTGATCAAAAAGGTTGAAAAAAGCTATGGAATAGAACCAGATTTGGCGGACATAATTTATAGGGGTGAGACGTTTGTTAATACGTCATTTTGTCCACCGATGTCTGCCTTCAAAGATTGATTTTTCGTAGTTTTACAAAATCAATACTTACACAATATTTGTATTAGCTTTTTTATGAACGGCCTAAAATAGTGGAAAAAACAGCCAATGACAAAACTTTGCCATGTTACGACCGCACTTGAACATTTAGAGGAAGATATAGACAATAGCTGACGGACTATGAGCTTGTGGAGTTGTTCAAAGCTGAAGTTTCCCTGAGCTATGTTTTGCGGCTGAAACATGGACTGAAACTGAATCTACGCGGAAAGCACTCGAGAGCGTTGAGAAAAAACTGAAACGAGGTCTTTGCGATACATTAGACGCACTCTGCATTTTGATGCTCGCAATGTGGACGAAAAATTGGCTGGTCTTTTCAACATCTATACAGATATAAAATTGAGTGTTGGTAAATTGTTGATTAGTGTGTTCTTTATGGAATTTTTTGTGTATGGACCAGTCAGCGCCAAACTTTGTACACATATGTTCTCACACCGATCCACCCCGTAGGCTACTTCTCGCAGCAAAATTCCCACTTCTTCTATTAATTTATCGGGAAGAATGAACTCCTATCAATCATTATCAAAGCGCTTCCAATTTCATGTAGATAATAGCGGTGAAACTCATTGGCCCGTAGTAAAGCTCGATCACGAAAGATGATCTTCACTGAGGCCCTCATATGAGGCTTTGTCGGGTGAGATGAGGACTGCCCACTTTCCGTGGTGTAAATATGCAAGGTCTACAGGTGAGCTTCAGATGAAGCCCGGCAGGGAGATCAGCTCCCGACCGGAGTCATCGTAGATGAGCCGGGCGACGACATAAGGTAAATATGTAATATGCTAAAGAGGAGAGCACAGAGAACGTAAGTTGCTTCCGATTAACTTACGAAACATCGCAGATGACGTTCTTTTGCGGTGTAAAACTCCCAAAATTGCACAATTTCGGGCGCCTAAGTGAGTGAGGATCGATGAACAGCTGATTGCGCGACGAAATCGGAAAAAAGTTTTTTTTTGCATTTGCTTGCAGTTGTTGCTTGTTTTTCTCAAAAAACCGCTTCAGATAACAAGAATGTGAATTTACGTTTCTATTTATTCTTGCTAAGTGTATTTTTTCCTCGTATGTATGCCAAAATAGCGTGTATTTGTTTTACCTTGTTGTTTGCTAGGTAAAATCTCTGATAGCGGCTATCATCGATTTTTCGATAGCGGCCGCTATCAAAGGTCGCCGGGCCAAGCAGCAAAAATAGTGCCGCTAGCCGGACTACCATGGCCCCGCCGCTTGCGCATTAGTCCTATCCATTTGACTAATAATGCACAAACAGCAGAAACGTTCCACCTTTGAAAACGCGAATGTCCAGTAAGTGACCTGCTCCAAATCAATCGCTCCCCTGGCAATGTGCTGAGGCGCGATGAGATCAGCTCCGGTCCGCCTTAAGAGAGATGCCCTGATGGGGGTTTACTACGGGCCATTCTCATTCCACTATAAGAGAGAGCGATAGTTGAAGGGATGCGGCCAGGAAGTATGTGCCTTATTCTACAGGAATAGCAGAAAAAGGTCAAAACGCAGATAAGTTGAAGCTTTTAGAATTGCGCACCAATCTCTTTGATGAGCCAGTCAAATCCATGGCGCGGGCGAAGCGGCATGCCAGCTATTAGAGGAATATATGTTAAAGGCAAAATACCAATGGGCTGGTGTCATTGCAAGAGTTACAAACACTTGACCATTACGAATCTTGGAGTGGACTCCTGATGCAACATGTCCCACAGGGAGACCTCCTAATAAATGGAATAATGTGATTGCGAAGCAAGTGAAAAATGGAAATAGACTTGTTTCGCGGACCTGGGCATGCCCCTAAACTCACAGTTAATGAAGATATACTCGTGGATAACGCTTGCTAGGCACTGGAACGGATACACCCACTACCCCAAAAAGAGCCCGATTTGCCAATGATGAATAAACGACAGATTGATGAAAGTATTGAGGCGCGGAGGAATCGTATGAATCCATAAAATGCAACTGCGCATCTGCTCTTAATAAAATGCATTTTAGGAAACCTTGATTTAAAGTTCGTCATCTGGGCCCGTAGTAATCTACCCGACATGTTGGCATAAGACATGACGGCAACCTCGCGAACCTCATGACAAGCTCATGTTTTGGGCATGAGGTTCACGAGTTCCTATGCCTTCTTAATAGTTATCACGGAGCAATCTGAGGTCGATCGCAAAACCATTGCACCTTGTGGGATGGAACTCTTCTTTGTTCAGCGAGAGTCAGCATACTAACCCGTTAGACTACACGTGTACATTACACATCATTCTAGGGAGCGTAATCAATCACACCAGTGATCTTGGATTAACACGTATCTGTAACATGTACTATCTTGTATTAACATAGTGTATTAACATGTTCACTCTACGTACAAGTGGATACTGAGCTACCTCTAGACAAAGCTAACGCTTCCAGCAAGTTTACAGAAACAAAATTCAACTCCATCAGATCGCATACAGGAACATGCTCAAAATCATACTACATTCTATGCCGGCCGCAAGAGATAAGAAAATAACCGCTTTGGTAGGCGACAAATGCATAATTGAAGGACTAGACAAATTTTTGCGCGTTTTTTTTTTGCATAAAAAACCGCCTAGAAAGATGTTTGGTGACTATGGCCTTCCCTAATAAAATGTATGCTACTATCTAAGTTTCTCTTAGCAGGCTAATTTCGAAGTAAATTTCACTATCTGTTGCGCAGTTTCCAGAAACGTTGACAAATTCGTGCTATCTTGAAAGAAAATTAGCATTGCTTTGGAAATCTGTTTTCATCTCATCAAATTATTGTTTTTTTGCTCAAATGAGCAGCACTATATCTGTATACTGTTTTTGAGGTCAAAACTTTCTATCTACCAAATTGAACCATCTTTGCCTTTGTGAAGTTCTCGCATTCTTATTCCATCAGAACATCGCTTATCAGAGACCAATACAAAATGATAGATTTGTAATCAGCGTTACAAGAAGTATCGCATGGTTTGCATACATATGTGTCTTTCCAATATCTCTGGAGGCAATTGGACGTACGTCTAGAACACTTTTTAGATATATCAGCCCACCTGCTACATGACACATTGTGTGTGCCCGGGAACAGAGGGGCCGAAGTCATCCATGACATCTTTAACAAAGTCGACACAAAGAAATTAGAATAGAGTGTCAAAGAGATGCTAGTGAAACAATTTGTACAGGGCTTTTCAACCTGAGAGTCGCAAGTTTCGCTTGCGCGGCTCCTCCAACGCGGCCGCCTCGCTCAGGCCGCGCGCGGCGTTTGCTGCGTATCGCCCGGATTTCGCCAAGCTTCAGTCGACGCGCAGCCAGCGCCACGAACGCTGCGCGGACCTAAGCGTGGCGTCCTAGCGGGGCGGGTGGGACACTCAGGTTGTAAAGCCCTGTACGTCGTTCATCACTAGAAACTGAAACTTAGAACTTTCCAAAATGGCTACAAAAGAAATTAAGGAGTAGCTGCCTTCTAGCGAAAAAAAAAACAAACTATTGCTTTGAGATACCTTCTAGCCTATAGATAGTCTTGCTTACTCACAGTATGTTTTAGCAAGATGTATGGAAGTCTTTCATGCAAGGTTCTTTATGTTCGCTTCGCTTCGCGAGCGCTGATGTTTTACTAGCCAGGAAACGAAGGGATTAAGGAAGCGCAAACACTGCTTCCCTGAACGATATGAAATATTGTCGTGGGGTGCAGAGCGAACTGATGAGCACGTCATTCAAATTTCGCCTAAATCGAAAAATTGCAACAATTTTCTGCGCCCCATAGCATACTATAACCTTCAGCCGGCTCATCCTCTAGTGGTCGAGATTGGCATATGACAGCTGTTACTAGCACAATCACCAAATGCTGTGTAAAAGGCATGTGATTGCGGGTAGAGGAAGAAATACTTTAGACCGCCTTCGCGGACTACTGGTCCTGACATGATATACAACAGTGAGACGAAAGGACCAGCAGTCCGGGAGGCGGTGACAAATATAGGAGTTGGTTCTTTTATGCTCTCATTGCTCCGGCGGCTTGCATCTTCGAGCCGTCTCGCTCGCCTTGGGCCCCATCCATCCGTTCATACAAAATTCCGCGACCGCGGACCAAGGCAATCGAAACAGCTCGACGATCTAAGCCGCCGAAGTCGTGACGATGTCAGCTGATGCCAATGGATACGTCCGCGAAAAGGCAATCTCGAAGATACATTTCGAACTATCAGAGCTCTTGTAAAGATGATACAGTAAGAGGGAATAAGATTCAACACAAACAAAACTTATATACTTTCATTTCAATCCACTTCGATTTGAAAAATCAATTCTTTTCATCATTTCAATCCAAAATTGCGCATAAAAAATGTGGTCAGTGTAGCGAAATGAATGGCACCTCACTTCTCTGCTGGTTAACTTCCTCGTGCCTCTTTGTTGCCTAAATCGAAGCTCACCAACTCACTAATGTTGAGATAACGTTATGGAACAAACGTTATAGAACACAACAAATGACTCACCGTTCTTTAAATTCCTCGATGTGTCTCTGCCTCTTTCTTTTTGCCCTCTTCTCCGTTCAAATCCTCCATTGAGTCCTTGCAACAATCTTCTATGTCTTCTCAGAAAACTGGAAGGTCTTTAAAACGTCATCTATATAAACAAACGTAAGCGCAATTCAAAAATCTGCGAATAGCGGGAAACGCGGCGCGGTCCCGAAACGAACGCACTTGCAAATAGCACCTTTCGATTACTGGTTCACTAGTTGAACACTAAAAATGTCAATCTGATGTCCAGCTAATAATGAAAATTGGCCACTTGACATACACACCGATGGTTTTATAGGGCCCTGCGTGATCGCGAGGATCGGCGCGGTTGCGGCCATTGCTGGCGCAATGACCTTCCTTGGTATTGCTTTCCTTTCGAACGCTCTGCTGCTACTGGATATTAGCTTCAGATCACTTGAGTCGATTTTGAAAAGTACGGGGTCGTTCAGTTGGTTTGAGGCCTTCTGGCATCCTGTATGCGCAATAGCCGCAAACTCGCCGACTCCCGCAATCATGCAGAGCCCTATACACTGTTCCCCGTGCCAACAGGGTTTTTGTGCATACGACACAAAAGGAAAGCAAATCAGACTGGTTAACAGGGAATTTCGACAGAAGATTTTTAGAAGCAAAAGATCGAACTTCAAGAAAGGAGAAGAGTGAAACAAATGTAAACTCATAATCCTTCTAGTGCACTTCTTCACTTCTGATGCAAAATCAGGGAACAGAATAAAAGTAAGAAAACGTTAAAAAGACTCACCGGCATGTGCGACGAGACGGAAAACTTTCAATTTTCAGTAGTGGAAGCAATACCAGGATATAGCAATTAAGATTTGATACGGAAAGGAAGATTTTGAATCCATCAAACTATAAATACAGATAAGAAGCCGAATTAGAGTGAAAGTCTAGAAAATGGACTCTTACCTGTAGTTGACAAATCACACGTGAGGCACAAAATCATTAGTAGAAGCGAAGTGGGTTGAGTGATTGAAACCGATGAGTTGGCGAACTTTGTAGCGAGCTGAAAATGCTGAGAAGAGATTTGGGGAAAAATCTAGTGGCAGGAAGTTTAGAGACAGATGAATCAAAAAAATCGAGTAAACATTTGAAAATCAATGAAAGTGAAAGCCTCACATGTTCTGCATCAAGCAAAAAAAAAACAATTCGTTTATGAGAAGAAGAACCAACCAACCAATCTCATCCCAGTAATATTGCTGAGAATCGACTTGATGAGTTTGCATTCGATGCTGGTCATCGGATAATAACCAAAATAGGTTGGCATTGAATCGTAACGATGAGCTGAGCTGAAAATCCAGTGAATTAAGTTATACTTACGGCTGCCCACTCTCTTCAGAACAGCGCGCTGCCTCCATAACTGCAGGTGTCAAAACGTAGATTTCCAACCAAAAAAAAGCAGGAAAGCAAGAGTTGTGGAAATCGCATTTCTTCCATAGGAAGTACATGCAATAAGTAGTAGTTACCATAGTTAAGTTAGCATAGTTAACGCGATTTCGTCTCGCGATTCTCCTGACAAGACAACTGTTACGAGCTCATTGCATGCCTCACCTTGCATTTTGGTTGTAACAGTTTTCCGACACGACTAATCATGATCGTGACTATCTCAACCGAAATGTAAAATGATCGACATGCAATGTACTCTAAGCGACCCGTCATAGTTCGCCGAGAAAAGTTCAAAAGCGCTCAAAAAAGCCCAAAAAGCCCAAAGAAGCCCGAAAAAGCCCAAAGAAGCCCAAAAAGGCCCGAAAAAGCCCAAAAGCGCCAGAAAGAGCCGGAACACATGAGCGAACTTTCGTTAGGACATTTATTTGATGTGCACGCGACAGAAAATGAACCAAAAGACCCGGTTGCGAAATCAACGCACATGCCCTAGCCCAAAACTTGCGAGGGGTTCCGACTCTTTCCGGCCCTTTTGGGCTTTTTTGGCCTTTTGGTCTTTTTTGGGCGCTTTTGGGCTTTCTTCGGCGAAGTATGACGGGTCCCTAACAGTTGTCTTGAGGGAGATTCGTAGGCAGAAATCACGATGAACTCGACTTTTCAAAATTGCAACTATATTCGAGGCCATATGCAAAATTTGCTACAGTACTTTTCCCACTGTGACCGCAGTGAAGAGAAGAAAGTGGAGAAAACATAACGAAAATATGAAGAAACTAAAGAAAACATGATTTTTATATGCTTCTTACCTTTCTTGCTAGAACAGTTTGACCAAAAGCAAGAAATCCACTATCCTCCGATCTAAAATGACAGTGTACAGTCAAGTATACACCGTGTCAACCTTAGGTTCTCTTTTCCACCAGCCAAATTGCAACCCCAGAGCCCTGCGTTGCGTTGGCGCAGGCAAATGCGTATATAAAACTTCCTCATCGATCGAGGTCGCCGCGCTAGGCCCTTGTGGTACGGACCGTAGCTGCCACGGAAAAGGGAGCAGTTGGTTGACATCGATTGTAAATTTTCCACTTTATACGGTGTGCTTGCGGTGCTGAGAAAATGGGGTGAATTTGCGCGTGAACAAATAGCACGCCAGTAATGCCGGCGTTTTGCTCGCGCAGGTGGCCGACATCACAGGCGTAGCTATTTGTTTACGCGCAAAATGCACCGCATTTTCTCGGCACCGCAAGCACACTGTATTGATTGGGAAATCTACTTAACTGCATAAAAAGTGCACAGGTGATTGAAATTGAATACAACCACTACGGACACACATTTGCCAATCAGAACCGTTAGCAAAGTAAGCTCCACAAAAGAGGACGCTTCAATTCAAAGCTTGCGTAATAATATGACTGTTTTGAAAAAGGAACAGTTATAGTAAAGATTCGAATCATTTTCCTGGCAAGATGAAGTCATAGTTGTGAAAGGATATGCTTCTCGGCCAAATGTGAATAATGCACCGCGTTTATTCCATATTTTCACCTAAGAAACGAAGTGTCACAGCTTATAAATCTGGAGATATGGTTAGCTGTTACTGAAGAAAGTCCACCAAAACAGCATATTTGGTATATCAGTGCTGCTCTTTACAAGTGAACAGTCAAACAACTCCTTGATTTTTTTTCGAATTATGTGGAGGTTTGCCTTGCAAAGGAGAGTTTTGATAATCACATCCATCATTAATAGCATGATATAGAAATTCATAAATCTTCCCATATAAGCATGTTTTTGCTTGAGAGCTAGGAAAACCAAAAGATTCAAGAAATTGCCTTTCATAAGTAGGCTTATTCTGAGGATTTCAAAAAGGGCAAACTGCTCTCCCAAAGATGGCGAATACTAAAACAACTTCAAGACCATGATAGTGACATCATTAATAGAGTCAAATACAAATGATAACAGTTTACTAGGTGGTGAAGTGAGCCGCCTTCGCATACGCGTCGCGGTCAATGGACCGCTTTCTTTAGGGAGCAGCCATTGGATTGAACATCAGAACAAAACCACAGACCTAAGTCTACTAAAAAAATAGAAGATTCTGCGTAAGTTGACTGTTTGCTGAATAACAAAGCTTTAGTCACAAGTATGTCAATCGTGCAATCCCTTTGCGCAATCTCTAAGCAAGTGCACAGTTTCTGTACGGGGCTATGGGGTCCTGTGTTGACTTTTATGAGTAAAAGGGCCTACTCAACTGTTGCTCATCATCAGCGTAACATGAGCGCAAATCGAAAGATGAAGAACGAGAGATACAAGCAAATTCAAAGATCAGTATTCCCTAGGGGAATTTGTGGCAAGGTAGTCAACACCACCACAAGAATTTACAGATCAAAAGATAACGTTTATCATAATCTGATAACCATCTTTTCAATGGTACTTTCAAATGCGGATTGTTGCGAACTCCCGTCATTTTCGTAATATAGGGTCGATGCTACACTTAACAGCAAAATGAAAAAAAAAAGATGAAAACCTAGAGACCCACCAGTATCTGTAAAAGATTGAAAAACGAATGTAGACGAACGCAGTTGATTAATATGAGACAGAGAATGACGTACAAGATTCCTGTGGGTTCCAGCCGATGAGCAAGCAAATTTCGTGGCGGGCTGAAAGTCCTAAGAAGAGATTTGGAAGAGTTTCTGGTGCCAGAACTGTAAAAACAAACAATTAGAAACAACTGAGGCCTAAACGTTCGAAGGGCACCAGTGAAATATGCTAAAACTCACTTGTATTACTTTGATCCTCAGAGAAAACAAATAATGACGACAAGCATCTCGACAGAAGTCTGCAAGTTCAATTTCTGCAACGAAGTATAATTTGTGCATTTTGCTCTATTTGTGTTCGTTCTTTCTCGGGAAACCTCTCCGTAAACGAGTTGACGTTAGCAGTTATACAGCGCAGTGTTTCGAGAAAGAGTGGACAGCCACATGCGAGTTAACTTGCTTTGAGCTCACTGTTGCTTGAATCGGAGCGTGCAAATCATTGAGGATAGAAGCCAACAAGGTACTGAAGAGCAGGTATAGGCCCATTGTTATGACCAGAACTCGGAAAAACAAAGCAGATTAACTTAACTATTACATTTCTGCGACTAACCACTCCTTTTCTAACCAGCCGTCTACATAATCAAGGATGAAACCGTGACGGCAGCTGTTTTGTCTTTTAAAGACTGTCAACAATGCGAATAAAACATTTCGTTTGTCGAATACAGCAGATCCTACCAGCAGTTTTACCATCCAAAAACATGCATGGCCATCCCTTCATCGACTGAGTGACAGAAAATCCATTCCAAAACGTAGAGAAATAATGATCGGCGATTGGTTTACTCACTGTCAGCTTACCTGTAAAATTCATAAGTAGCAAGAAACACACAATAGGAATGGAAAAAACGGTTGAAGTCATGTAAACATGCGTTCCACGACGGTTTTTTGCCCAGCAAGGCAAAAAAGTTTATCATTCCAGCAGTTTTTGATATTTTCTAACTGTTTTGGACCATGAGGATGTCTCAATTGCAAAAGAAAAATAACAAAAATAAAGAAAACGTTTGAAAATCCGGCACTAAACAAAGCAATGTCATGAACCTGCCGGCATCTCGACATGGTCCGACCACGACGAGATGCCGGCAGGTTGCACTCCTCAATATGCACGCTATTTTCCTTTCTTTGCTGACATGAGGGCGAGATGCCGGCAGGTTGAGGGCGAGATTGCGGCAGAAATCTCGACAAAATACCTCACGAAGTTGCCGGCAGGTCAATCTTTTGGGTCCAAAATTTGAAGTTGTCGGGATTTTTCGGATTTTTTTCGATCTCCATCTGGTGCCCACCTCTAAGCTGGACCGTCAGTCCTGGAGAGCGCCAAACTGATTGCTTTGGGGAAGCTAGAGAGGGCGCTGACAGTTTTCATGACTTGAGGGCGAGATCGCGGCGAGTTGAGGGCAAGACCTGCCGGCAGGTAGGGTAGATTACTACGGGCCCTGATAACTGCATCAACTGCTCCTACCAATTACTAGCGGTTATGAATAGTATTGGACACGTGGTTTTTGAGGGTTTGTCTCTGATCTTCCCAAAATCACAAACAATTTGAAATAATCAATTGTTGGTACGCCTATGATCCAAAACGTAAATAAAGACGCAAGACAGACGAGCTTGATCTTTGTCAAATAGCCGAAATTACTATTCAGATAAGTTGCTAACTTTTTTCAAATGCAAATGACAAAATTTTGAGTCATATAAACGCCATCTAAAATGATTTGTGCGTTTTTTCGATAATCATGCATTCTTTCCTGCATAAAAAGATTTTTGCGATTTTTCTCTTAATTCTTTATGATGACGAAATGGAAGCAGAACATGCTAATTTGAAGTGATTGTTGTCTAGATTACAAAACAAAGTCAGCTAACATCGGAAAAGAAATTCGTGCAAAGTCTCAGCCGATCTTGATACCAACGGCAATGAGGGAGACTAGATCGCGAGAATTCAAAATGACTCATTTGGAAAAAAGTTTCCAAATACTTTTGCATCAAATTAAAAAGTCCATAAGTGTTTGAACAGATGAGGTTTAGATGCTGTCATTTGCTTGAAGAGTATTCAGATTCATTTTGAAAAAGATTTATGCTTCAATGACTGCAGAAAATTATTGCATAAATTTGACCTAAAAACTTTCTCATTAAGAATTTTATCAAAATAATGTTCCTCATCGCAGACAAACATCTAGAATGTCTTTAACCTTACTTTTTGCAAAATCTTGCAGAATTTAAATTTCATTGTGTAAGAAAAAGCTGTCTCAAAAATCGTGTGAATGTTGTGAAATTGTTTTTTGATTTTTGTCATGAAATTTTCCTTACGACCCAATAATAAGAATAATTGATAGAATAAAAACAGGACCTTGTAATATGGCCCAATTTCTTTTTATCAGCAAATCCTGTAAGATTCCTAGTCCGGTGGGGGAGAGGAAATTTTCAAAACACCATGATTTTGTAAGCGAGCAGCATATTTTTCAAGTCAATTTTTCATAATATTTGATCAATTTGTAATGGTTATCAATTATAATATTGTGTACCGCATTACAATCATACATTCTGCCTATAAAAAAGCTATGCTAACGCAAATCCGGTTCGCTCCCGAATAAGCTGGTTCAGCACTTGCGATGTTGCTAGAAACGTATTTTCTTATCGCAACCCTTATCGCTGTCTCGCATGGCTCCACCTTTGGGGTGAAACATTCTTCGAGTTGAGCTTCTTCCTAACAACCTCCAACTCTTCGAAAGTCTCCAGAATGTCCAATCAAAACAACGAGGTGAGCCCATTTTAGCTTTGCGTTATTTGTACAGCTCCAATGAGCGGCCTTAATTAGGTCACATAGCCCCGCATCCGAGCCGCCGAGCCAGATGAATCAAAGGCTACATATGTTTATATATATATCATAACTATAATAACGGGCTAGGGGTTGTTTACGTTTGTCTGTGTGTGTGTGTGTGAATCTCTGTCTGTCACGAAATTCGTAGAGCGTGTTTCAGCCAACGTCCTGAGCCCAAATTTTGCATAGCGCACCCTACCAGCATGAAGGCTCACTGTGCAAAAGCATGAGCGGATCCGTTGAGTGGATCCATTGAATGCGCGTCAAACGGATCCACTTGGCTTCTGGCCAGCAAATTTGGGTCCGTAGTACTACTTTTTGCAGAGTTAAGGATATACTTGACAAGCTATTGTGGAAGCCATGGACGTTAGCCTAAAAAAGTAATGAAAAGCCTACTACTTTACGAAAACAGCGCCAAAAAGCATTCGCTGTGTAAACGGTCAATTTTTCAAGATTTTACCTGATCATTTGAGAAGATTTTTGCACAGAGATGTAGCCCACTATGTTTATTGTCCTTACGGCGACTGTCAAGCCATAAAAATTCCAAAAACCTATTCGAATTTGCATCTGTTCTTCTGGGAAAGATTTTATCCACGCGAAAATACCGATCCCACATGGAAAACGTCTACAAATGAGTAGTTGTTTACGAATTATTCGTGATAGCCTACATAGCGCGGTGAGTTTCACTGTCATTATTATGCGGGAATGAGTAAGGCATACAGAAAATAGGGCCAGTGCGAGCCCCTGCGAAGCAGAGGTGACGCACTGGTATATATATATATATATACAGGGTGTCCCAAAAGTATGTATCGAACGTTTGATCGTTAATATCTCTCTTCCCAAGAAGTCTTTTGCCTTGCTTCAAGTACCATTTTGTAGAGCTGGCTTCAACTTAGATTTGCATTAAAGAACGAATCACCCATCTCTCTTCATTACTGTAGGATTGCGGTAGAAACTTGAAACATATGGTGTCAATGTGGAAAAAGCTGCAGTTCCAAAATTCTTCAAAAAATTGTGAAAACTTGTGTAATAGGGTTGTTATGGATGCTGAGCTCAATACTCAACTATTCACAAGATTACAAAGCTTTTTAAACGGTGTAATCGCACTTTTTAGGAACATTGAAAAAATGGCCGCTACCTCTTACCTGGCATAACTCCTCAATGAAGCATCATAATAAGTTGGGAACTTTACAGTTATAATCAGCAACTCTAATTAGCCTAGTGTGAAAACTTTCAGGCTGTTTTATTTCCTTTCTAAGGCAAAATATGGCCTTTCATTGCTTAAAACCCTCTTTGAAGTTTCTACCGTAATCCTACAGTAATGAAGAGGAATGAGTGATTCGTTCTATAATGCAAATCTAAGTTGAAGCTAGCTCTACAAAATGGTACTTGAAGCAAAGCAAAAGACTTCTTGGGAAGAGAGATATTAACGATCAAACGTTCGATACATACTTTTGGGACACCCTGTATATATATATATCTTATATATAAAGCTGAATGTCTGTTTGTCTGTCTGTCTGTCTGTATGTCTGTCTGTATGTCTGTCTGTATGTCTGTACGTATGTTCCGAATAGAAAATTCCATTTCTGAACCGATCCGGACCAAACTTGGCACACATACACTTCGGGCCCCGGCGGGTGTCATAGGCTACTTTTCGTCATCGATCGATATCGATTTTATCGATTTTTATCGATTTTTTTGCTGAGTTCACCTACGGGGCTGGGAGTTGGCACAGGGGGGTAATCGAGCATGGGGATTCCGAATACAATATTGGTTTTCAGGATTATCGATTACTTTTATCGATTTTATCGATTTTTTTGCAAAGTTTGAGCTACGGGGCTGGGAGTTGGCACAGGGGGGTAATCGAGCATGGGGATTCCGAATACAATATTGGTTTTCAGGATTATCGATTACTTTTATCGATTTTATCGATTTTTTTGCAAAGTTTGAGCTAGGGGGCTGGGAGTTGGCACAGGGGGTAATCGAGCATGCTGATCATCCCCAAGGGGGGTGATCAGCATGCTCGAACACCCCTGTGCCAAATTCCAGCCCCCTAGCTCAAATTTTCAAAAAATCGATAAAATCGATAAAAGTAATGGACGATCTTGAAAACTAATATTGTATTCGTAATCTGCATGCTCGATTACCCTCTGTGCAAACTCCCAGCCCCGCAGGTCAAACTTTGCAAAAAAATCGATAAAATCGATAAAAGTAATGGACGATCCTGAAAACTAATATTGTATTCGGAATCCCCATGCTCACTTCCCCCTGTGCCAACTCCTAGCCCTGTAGGTGAACTCTGCCAAAAAATCGATAAAATCAATAAAAGCAATCGATAATTCTGAAAACTAATATTGTATTCGGAATCCCCATGCTCACTTCCCCCCTGTGCCAACTTTTAGCCCTGTAGGTGAACTCTGCAAAGAAAATGATAAAAATCGGTAAAATCGACATCGATCGATAACGAAAAGTGGACTGTGACACCCGCCGGGGCCCGAAGTGTATGTGTGCCAAGTTTGGTCCGGATACGGCGGAGCCGGGTAAGCCAGCTAGTATATATATATATATATATATATATATATATATATCATAACTTATAATAACGGGCTAAGGATGTTTACGTGACTTTGGGTG